CACACAGTTCTTGAAGTCGAGTCGCTGCATTAGCCCATTCACATACTCGATGTATGTGTGAAGAGGCGACAGTTGTTGCCAGCTAATCCCAGTCCCCCTAAATAGTCAACATTTTCTAAGATAAATTTCAGTTAGCTTCTAAGTAGTCCGGGGCTGGAAATTGTTCCACAACTGACTTAAGTAGTACGTATCCATGCACGACTTCATAGAAAGCCTCTGAGCTCCAAGCGTTCCGTTAGTTATTAGTCGCTGTGCGTAATATGTTTGTTTAACGCCGAATGATGTTTATCCACCTACATACAAAACATACACCTAAGCCCATCTACTAGTATCCTGATAAGTACATAAGTTTAGTCGTTTTATTTTCCATTGCATACGCATATGCGCGGTTTAGTAGACAGCTGCGTATGAACTCATTCATCACTCACTATTCTCATTCATTGCCTCGTTTTTGGACCCTCGTCGCTTTTGGCTTGTGACGACTTAATGTTCTTTTATTTGTTTGTAGACACAAGCGTAGAAAAAATAATATTTACATAAGCGACGTGGTATGATTATATTTTGAAAGTATATAAACCACTTGCATGGCGTGGTTGTGAAGATTGGATTTAGGGCATTTGAGAGGGTTGCCAGAGTTGCTAAACAATTAAATTTGTGACAACCAGATTACTGCAACTTTAACCAACAGCTTCATTTTTTTCCTGCACAATGCTGGGAAACCTCGAAGAAATGCTCTCCTTCTTCTGCCGTTTCCGATGAGTTTTATGACCCGGTCGAATTCTAAAAGGGCCCTGCAGCGTGACCAACTGAACCAGATCGCCTTTTGAAAACAGCAGAAAGTTGTTTAGATAAATAATTGATGGCCAGTCCATGTAGTTACAAAATTCGTTTTGAGCGCGAGAGTGCAGATCCTTCCACCACCGCATAGACGTAATCACCAAATTTTCGGAAATTCGGCTCAAAATGAAAATCAGCGGCGTAAGAACCTCTTTGGCCCTCCCGAACCCTGATCGAGGTAATGTTATGCCTGTAAGCGATGGTCGTAAAGTTTAACTCTACTTTGTCCTCTCCGAAACTTCGTTTCGTTGCCAATGGTCGAAGTTAGTCTGCGTAAACAAACTTTTTCAGAAAAGGCCTGGTTCTTAAGACATTACTCTGAAACCACTCATACCACTCGTTCGTTGTTTTAACCTCGCAGACTGTACCATAATCATCACTAGGCTGTGGCTTAAGTTAGAGCGAACTTTATTCACGCGAATTTGCTCGAAATCGCTTAGAATGTATCTGCGTATATTGGTTACGTGGCTTACGGAAACCATAACATACCAACTGTAGGAATTTCGACTGCCTTGAACTACTCGCGATTTCAATGTTCCTCACAGACCCTTACGATTTAAACCACCCTTTCATCTTAACGCAGTTAAGGCAAACTTCTATTCTTTAGCGCGTATATTAAAAGCGCTCTCGGAATTTAACAACATCTCTAAGGTCGAGGCCACGCAATGAGCAACAAAACGGCGAACGGCTGAGCGGCGCCATACAGAAATGCTGCTCAGCCGCTCAAAAAGACCGCTAAGACACTTCAATAGTATTTCATATGTTTTAATTTTAAGCCGTTCGCCGCTCACTGCGTGGCCTCGGCCTAAAGCTCTAACCAGAATTGCAGCGGTCGACGGTTAACAGGTGTGAAAATTAAAACCCATAAAGGCATATGGAATGGCTCATAATTGCGGCGGCAGCGTTTTTACCGCCGGCGTTTTTCGGTTGATTTAATTTTACTTATATTTTTACCGTCCAGCGAGGACGGCACGATGTTTTTTGCCAATGTTTTGATCCATTTTTATTGCCAGAAAATCTACATACACGCACATGCCGAACAAATTGTTAATTTTAAAGATACATAATGTTCAAGTCAAAATAACAACTGACGGAAGCCGTCGTGTGCGGCGATAGTGTTTACTCCGACGGATTTCACTGCGACAACTGTTCCGCTGTAATTCTGGGTAGAGCTTAAGAAGGTTGATATTGAATTTTCATCAGCAAGCTCTTTATATAAGTCCACGCTTGAATCGCTTTACTCTTATATTAACATGATTCTCGTATAATACTTATTTTTGCAATCTGCGTAATGTATGAATGAATTTCACAGTCAAAGCGATGAGGAGCGAATTAAAAGCTATCTTACCGAAACCGCAGCCTTAGTCGGTAGTTGGTGTCGGTAGTTAGTGTTGAGCTCTAGATCACTTGCATCTGCATATTCGTTGCCACGTTGATAATTTTCGAGACGTTTTAATGGACTTTGGCGATAGCTTTCGTATTTTTTTTTTGGCTTTTTGGAATTCTTCATGTTTCATACCTCGGAAGTTTTTCGAGATTTTTTGGGTACTTTTAGATTATGCGGTACTTTTCAGGTATTTTTCGGGATTCTTCGGATTTTTAACACATTTTTCGGTATTTTCGAATCCTTTTCAGATCTCGTTGACATTTTGGGGATTCTTCCAGATCTCTTTTAGGTTGACAATTTCGGGATTTTTCAGCATTTTTTTTGATATGATCCTGGTATTTTTAGGATATTTTTCGAAAATTTTCGAGATTTCTCTTGTTTTACCCTTCGGGATTTCTTGCAAATTTTTCGGGGTGTCTTTCCGGGACGTTTTTGAAACTTTTGGATTTTTTTTGCGGATTTCCTCGAAATTTTTCGGGAAACTTTAGAGCATTTTCTTTTCTGGACTTTTTGGGGCTTTTCGGAACGTTTCGGGGTTTCTAGCTTGCCAAAGCTTTCTCTTATAAATATTTGGTTGTAATAATTGGTATTTGCGAAAAATTTGTTCGTGGACATTCGGTATTCTTCGGGATTTCAGATAGACTTTTTGGGATTTTTGAAGCTTTTTTGTCACGTTTCGGGAAATGGTTGAGTCCCTGTAGGGACTTGTCGGTACTTTCGGGACTCTTAGAGATATCTTTTTTCGAGAATGTTCGTTTTGTACTCTCCATGATTTTTCAGCTACTTTAACAAGATTCTCGGTATGTTTCTGGTATTTTTCGAGCATTTTAGGAATTGCCCGTAAAGTACTTTAGGAGTGTTTTTTTTGTGACTTTTTGGAATTTTTTCCGTTCTTTTCTTTGTTTTTTTTTGGACTTTTCAGTAATTTTTAAGAGATTTTTCGGGCATTTTCTGAATATTTATAGATTTTTAGCGTTTTATTTGCAGAGTTTTCGGACGTTTTTGGCATCAGTGGGGTTTTACTCTTTGAGATCTTCTAGAAACTTTTAGATCTTCTGAATTCTTCGGGGCTTTACGCAATGTTTCGTGTTTTCCTGGCTTCTCAGAGATTATTCAAATCCATTAGAGATCTTTGTTATCAAAACCAAATATTTGGCTTTTTATTGTAAATTTACTATGGCTATGACCTCTATTATTTGGAACTTTTAAGGGCTTTGCTTGATGGGTTTTTATTTTTTCTATCGTTTATAATCAAGGCAATTGACTTTTTCGAACCGACTTGCGATTTTATGAATTCCTTTTGATTGAAAATATATATATATATAAATAAAAACGATTGAATTTCAATTTTATGGGTTAAATTATAATTTATTTGAAAAAATCTCAACCTGTACTGCACCTGCCATAAATGTATTTCTGTCGGCTTGGCAACCCAGCCTCATTGTTGATATTTTTATCTAAATGAGATTGCGGCCATAAGCAAACATGTGTAAGTAGGTATTAAGCGTGTGCATATGTTTACGCAGCATTAAAATATTTAAATTAATACGCATGTATATATGTACATTAGGGTGGTCCTTAAATGTAGGATGGAAATTTTTACATCAGATTTCCTCAGCCGCAGCTCCTACGTCAACGCTACTATAGTCGAAGGTATCATATATAAATTTTGGCCCCGATTGAAGTCGGTTAAGGTGTGTCGCACAAGGGTCAAAGTTCAGATTACCCTAGGAAGGGATATCCTCGACTTTAATAGATAGTATTTATGTAGTGTATGTATATTTATGTGTGTATGTGTATTTATGTATTATTGTAGAAATTTTTTTTAGTCCATAGAAACCTTTGCGGCACGCTTTAACCGACTCCAATTAGGACCAAAATTTATAAGGGACATCCTCGACTTTAGTTATATAGATTTTGGGTATTAAATGAAAAAAATAAAAATATTTTTAAATGATTGAGTCTATATAGAGGAATCTGTACTTTGCCTCCTGTGCGACACGCCTTAGCCGTATGATATCTGGGACCCTGGATTGAGGGGGTGAGACTGAAAAGATGCATTCATTTTATTTTTATGGACCACCCTAATTTACATATTTGAAAACACGAAAATGCGAACATCCTTTTCCAGTGTTTTTCTATTTTTGTGTAATTTTTTGTGCGTCTGTGTACCCACTTTAATATGCATAAGTAAATATGCTTATCACACATACATACATTTGTATGTAACTACAATGATTTTATCGCGCAAAAACAGCGCACACCTGCACAGCTTCAGTTCATCATCATCCTTTACATATTAAATTGTTGCTCAAATTTACTTACCGTATGCTAATTTTTTCGTTGACATCTTCATTGTTACATATTCTTCGTGCACGGCGAGCTTACGAATTCGCATGTAGTTTTTGACTTTTTTCACATTACCGCACCCAATTAGATTCATATGCGTGCGTGGGTGTGCGTGTGTGCTAAAATTTTTTATGTAAATTTTTATGCTAAACACGTTTTAATAATTTATAATTCCTTATCATTTTGTATCATTTACGTTTTTATCTCCACTTGCGACGTCCTGCCAACAAAAACATAAAACAACAAGAACAACAACTATCGCTATATACAGTTGACTGTAAGTTGGTGACACCCTGTCGCAACTCTACGTACGCCAACTATTCGCAAATGCCCTGCCTCTGTTCATTCTTGTACGTGCGTATGCTCATTCGCTGTGGTGACTTTTCCTGGCTGTGTGCCGCATGGTGCTCGGTAACTTGCGGCCAAGGCTTGCAAATGCGTGGCGTTGAATGCAAATCATCCACCGGCAGTGCCGCCCACTTGGGAGACCCGCATCCGTGCAGCCATACGCGACGGGCGACTCTTGTGATGGCGGTGGTACAGTTATACTCGGCAGCAGCGGGCCACTCGCAGCGGTGAGTACTTAGCTAGGAGAATTGAATTTAAAAAAAATATAGAAAACATTATACAGTGTTTAAAAATAATAAGTTCTAAAAAATTAAAAATTAAAAATTTGCATACATTTAACTTACCTACATTTAGTCTGCTCCATACCTTACCTTCCCTTCTCTAGCAGTTCGTTGATAGTGATCTCGACGTGGAGGAGGATGAGGACAATGATGATTCTGCGGATGTTGACGATGTCGACGACGAAGGCGTTGACGAATCTGGCGATGCCGGCAATGATAATGCCGGTTTAGTGTTATACATACAACGATGATTCCGCACCGCAGTACGCGCATCGCTCGATCAGTCATTTGCATCATGATGAGCTGCAACAGCCGCGTGCCGAACGCCTTACTAGCGGTGGTGTTGGATATGGTTATCGCAGTAATTCGGATCCAGAAGCGCAGGTGCCTGCTGGCGTTCCAAGGTGAGTGAAAGGCAGTTAATAGAAAATGGTTAACATTTATTTGGATTTAAAAGAGCCAAGAAAACGCGGGGACAGTAGGGGTTTTTGCTCACCCTTGCGCCTTAAAAACGATGTCGTGTCTCCAATTAGTTCGCAGACCAGTTTGTTAAAGAGGATTAGGTTAGGTTAGGTTAGTTGGTAGCCCCGTGTATCCAAAGCTCACTTAGACAATTTGAGATTGTCCTTTGTTGTCAATTCTGAACGGCACTCTATACTTTATCGATAAAACGCCCCGAGCTCATTATGTATTTACGAATTCGGCTAATCTAAATGCTCCAGGGCTCCTCGGGGCTATTTATTTAAGATGTGAGAGTCCAAGTTATTCAATCTTAGCCACGCAAAAGCTGAGCACCTAAGAAGTTAGTGTTGAGGCGATTCCACGTCGTCATCTTCCAGGCAACTGCGACATACGGGGTCCGGTAGTATGTTCAGCCTTACTGCGTGAATACCGATTGGACAGTGGCCCGTTAAAACCCCCACCAGAAATGAGAGCAGTGGCTTTGTGAGTGTGAGGAGTGCCCTCGACAGCCCTCGGTCCACCCTCGGCCAGAATGACCTTGTGATCGCAAATACGGTATTTTTCGTCCAGCGCTTGCTGAGCTGAAATAAGGTCCATCTATCCAAGAGTGTACCACAAGCGGTCAATGGCACCCCCAGTCGCCACTTATCCGGCGATAGTGTTTCAAGTGTCGCTGTGACCCGGAACCCAATAAGCCTAATACAGAAGTATTCCAACGCGACCGAAAGAGAGAGCAGACGTTCCTTAACCAAGTTAGAGCGAACTTCCAACGAACCCAACACCATGATTGCCGCTTGGCTATCAGAATATACGCCCACTTCCCTGACTGTTATAGCGCTCCACTCCCGCCTGGAGGTTGCAGCCTGTACTTAGTGCTGATGGTCAGCTCTTGACAGAAGACCCCAACACCACCCCTGCCATCTAGATTCGATCCATCCGTGAAGAAGTACACGGTCAATCCATCGGTTTCCCTGAGTCTAATAGCCGTTCGCTCCGCGACAATTCTGCCTGCAACGTCTACAGGCACTACGTTCCGTGCTAATGTGGTGGCGGTCCGCAGTGGCCCGTTGTACGCGCTCCAACTGCTATTGTTGCCTCTTCCAGTGAGCTACACCGCCGCAAAACATAATTGACTTGACTACGGTCTCGTATAGCCAATATACAACTTTTGGCGAAATACCCCGTCTCTTACCAATAGCTCCCCTACTGCAATAAGGCCACTGATGCCTTCCTTGACTTTGACTATCACTATGACTATAATTACACCGTGCGACAGTCAATTTTACACATGAAAAAATCAATATATTCACAAAACTGGGGGCCAAATATAGTAAAGTTGCGTTTTTAGTTTTTCTCTCTGACGTCCAGATTTTTTTAATAGGACTTTGAAATTTCTAGAGTACGATTGAATAAAAAAATTATTCAAAAGATTCGATGCATTGTAGAATAACAATATGGGTATCAATTAAAAGGAAAAATTATGTAGAATAGAAAAAAAAAATAAATAATTTTTGGGTGCGCCAGGACGAATAAGTATTGAAGCGTCCTTTTAAAACTTTATCCTTGATTATCCTGGGAAATTTCCAATATTTATTTTTGAAAAAAATATATGTCAAGGACTAATATGTTAACTACCACATCTTCGAATTTCGTACTTCTAGCTTTTTTAAATAAAAATGTACACTTTTCTTTATAAGATATTGGTAGTTGAAATATACATAAATGAAGATACTGGAATCGGTTTTTTTGGAACCATGTATGCGCTCTAAAAGAACAAACTGACCATGTGATGTACGGTTTAAATACTTTAATTTTTTTGTATACAACGGTGTAGCCAGCCTTTCACCTAGGGGGCAGGAGATCATATAGAGGAAAAAATGTTCTTAATTCAATTTTTTTTCTTTGTGTATATAAATAGAATTATTTGGGACTAAGGTTCAAAACATAGTGGAGCCGCGAGCAAAGCAAAGAGCTAGCATCGAGCAAAGCTTCAATTACAAATGTGTATGTACGCTTTGCTCTTCACTATGCGTTTGAAATCGACGCTTTGCCCGATGCTCTTTGCTCGCCGCTCCACTATGTTCTTCGCCTAAGAAAGTATAAGTTTTCTGGTATCCTTTACAACGATACCAATTGTTTTTTAAATAGGTTTGTAATTTTTTTTTTATATTTTTTTATAAAAAAGGGTATGTTTTGCTCTTAAGTGTTGTTTCTCAAATTTTTACATACGAAGTATTCAAATATGCATACCTAGAAGAAAGGGTATTTAATCGCCCTTACAACGATACCAACTTTTTAAAAATCAGTTCAAAATCGCTTGAAATATCAGGTTTTTAATTTTTCGAAGACTCAACCTTTGCCCGCTTACATCACCTGTAAGATGATGACTGTGACTGTGATTATTGCAATGGCTATGACTACAACTACGAAAATGACTATATTTGTGATTATGATTATCACTAAGACTATAAACATGACTGTGACTGATTAAATATGATCATGCCGATGACTACGATTATGACTATGACAATGACTTTTACTTTGACTATGACAGTAATCGAGCGAGATGGTTGGTTCTAGTCCCACGGCCAGCACGATTGTTTTTTGAATTCTTTCATTATTATGATTTATTTTTTTATGTAATTATAGTTGTTGTGGTCTGTTTTAATAAAATTAAACTCCAAAAAAATTTATCAACTGTAAAATAACATAAAAAAAAGTTTAAACTAAAATTAAAAATATTACAATACAAACAATTTTTAAAGGAGGATTTAAAAGGAGCCGTTATATCAAGTGGGTTTTAAAATTTATATGCCCTTCAAGCACAAATTTTTTTCTAAAAAATGCGTTTGAATGGCAGATAAATTTTAAAACGTACTCGAGAAAACTGCACTAAAATCTCAAAATTAAAAGAAAATGAAATTTGAAAAAATAAAAATAAATATTAAATTAAAAAAAGAAGAACATTCCGCTGCCCGAGGACTCGAAAATCGGCTTTGATCACTCGTTGCTTGCGGCTGTTGGAGTAGCGTGATCATCAAAATGATATACATCCCATTGTGAACGCGCTTAAGTGCTTTCTGCGAAAAGAGCTTTTCACCATGAAAGTTGGCAAAGCGTATTTTTTGTAAGATTTTCGTGCCAGAATAAAGAGATTCTTTTAAGAACGCCGAATCTGGTTTGTCTCCAAACCAGTAGCTCGTTTCTGTAACAATTCTCTACCAAAGCGAATTGAGATATAAATTCGCCGCCCTGTTCTCTACTGCTAATGAGTAGTAAAGAATGACGTATATTCGCTACCAGTAGAGAAACAATCGGTAGAGAAGAATTGCAGAAACAGGCTACTGATTTGACAAGGGATGACAGATAATTGTTCCACACTCTAAAAAAAAAAAAAAAATGTGTAAATTTCCTAGCTAAAAGATAGGTTACTGATTTCCTACCTTATTATCCGGGAAATTACATGCTCGATTATTCAACGAATAGTTTGTGTTTTTAGAGTGTAATATAGCTGCTGTGGTGTGCGTAAATTTACTATGAAAGTGTGTAAAAGCTAACAAATACACATCTGCTGTTTGATTTCACCCGTAGAATTGTGTAAAGTCGTTAACAATTTTTACACACATATTCATGGTGTAAATTTACCAAAAAATTTAAAAAATAAACAAAACTATACTCGATTTATATTTTATTTAGATTTAGATTTTATTTATGACATCTTTCAAACTCTCTTGCAACTTGGGGTGCCAAATGAAAGCTTCTGGCTCTTTCTGATTGACTGAAGTAGAAAGCTTTCCGATACAAGTCTGTGCGATGAACTGTTTTTCAAACGAGTTAAATGGTTTAAATTTTCCAACAACAACTGCATGCGATTTAACTTGTTTACAAACAAGTTTTGTGCATTTAACTGGTTCAAGCCCATTTAAGATGTTTAACTCGCTAATTTGAACTTAGTATAAGGCTATATTTGTGGTTATCATTAATGATTATTTTCAACAATTGTTATTGATCTCGAGGCCGTTTTTTTAATGAAACTTTATCGTGGAAAAGCAACAATAATTTGAAAAAATGGTAGAAGTGATAGCTATTTCGGAAATCACCACATTTCCTCATCAGACTTCTTCCAGCAGGATTCGAACCGACAATCCCACTGACTCAGCCAGTTGCCTACGCACTGTGCTAAGTTCGCCTTGTTAATTCTTGTTGCTTATTTCCACTATTTCACATGTTCAGCCAACTACAAAAAATTTTTCAATATAATTGTTATAAGGCCATAAAATAACAAAAAACATTTATGATTATTATCATTAATGATTATTATCATTTCTCGAATATGAATATGGCTTTGGCTGCGATAATCTAAGTATTATACTAAGAGTATAGTAATTAATATGGCTGTGTGTGGTGTAGTCTTTATTATGATTATCATTATGACTGTGATTGCGACTATCAATACAACCATCATTTTGCCCAGGACTGTGATTATGACAATGCCTATCATTATGACTGTCATTATGACTATGACTATGATTTTGACTATAAATTTGACTATCGTTGCGACTAAGATTTTGACTGTGTCTGTGATTTACCATGACTACGACTATCGACGCGAAGGCTGTAATTTATTTTGAATATCTTTTGATTCTGAATTTAATTGTAGCTCTATGTCTGGCTTTCAATGATTTTGATTTGACTTTAACTTCCACTTAAGCACGAAAACAGAGTCACGTATTTATGTAGACTTAAATTGTACTTGCATTGCAGATGGAAGCGTTAATTCGGATTAACAGCGCGAGGCCACGAGTTGACGTCCCATGGCCAGAACAATATATTTTTTTTTAATTTTCTAAACAACTTTATTTCACTAAATGTTATTATTGTTCTTTTGGTGGTTTTTAATAAAATCAAACTCAAGAAGAAAAATAAATAAATTTGAAATAAG